GTTTTAGACGATATAAATGAAAACATAGTTAACCATTCGTACGAAATCAGGGCCGCCGAAAACTGTCATGCCACCTGTGACAGCAATCTTGATTGACGCCCTTAGTTATCAAATTTTCCCTATATTATATATGAAGGACCAAACTGTCCCGGTGCCCCCCCCCCCTCGGCGACCCTGTACGAAACTAAAATTATTGCTCCTAATTGTCCAATGAATCATGAAATTTCATACTAACTGATGGTAACTAAAGTTACCATCAGTTAGTATGAAATTTAAAAGTGGTTAATTAGCAAGTTATGATATTTAAAAGTGGTTAATTAGCAAGTGTTTTTTTCAAAACTTTAAAATAACATTAACAAATATTGAATCTCTGTAAATAATATACTCTATAACAATACAGTTTAAAAAAATAACTCTACTGAACACACAATAGTTCAACTCACTAGAGTCGTTACAGACTCCTTCGAACATGGTAAAGTCCTAAAGTTACGTAAAAAATATTTAAATAATCATCAACTATTCGTTCACGTGATAAATTAGAGAAAATTTCTGACTGATTTAAATCAAATGAACTCTTACTCAATATTAAAAAAACTTGGTAGACTTTTTTTTAGCAAAAATATTTTTGTGGCGAATATAAATGTTAAAATACTTGATGACTAAAGCGTTGATTACATTTCGTAACTCATTAAAAGACAAGAACATAGATATACAAATTAAGAATTATTTTTTATTTAAATGATTCGAACCTAGCCAAAAGTTTTAATGTTACAATAAAATGAAAAGTTTTAGAAGAGTTTTCTGTCCTGGGTCGGATTTATAGCCTCAAGGGCTTAAAACCAAACCAATTTTCGGAGATCGTAAAAAAATAACTCTGGTTGGGAAGCACTGGCTTCTTATACGCCAGTGCTTCCCAACCAGAGAGGTTCAGAATTATTTCATGGGGCTGGAAATTTTATTATTTTAAATATTATTTCTTAGTAAACATTATATTTTTATTTTTTGTATTTATAAAAAATATATAGTGAAATACAGTTGGAGTTCAGCTTTAAGTAAGGTAAAATAGGTTAATCTAAAAAATTTCTCATTTTTTAATAAAAAAAAAAAATTTTATATATAAAACGAACTGAAGCCATCTGCAAATACTTGCAAATAACAAAAAATCTGTTTAAAAATAAGTTAAGCGATTTATCAATTGATAAAACCGTTGGTGTGGGTGGTGTAAGCACTGAAAAACTGTTCTAACAGCTTCTCATTAACTTTAAGCACGATATTTCAGAAGTCACTAGATAGTAAGTTCGTCCTTAAAGGGATCCCCAACTGCCGACACAAGTTGTGTTCATATTAAAGAAAATCTTAAAAAAAAAAACATTTGGACTAAATTTTTTTGATTGAAACTAAATAATGAATGCAAACCAACAAAATTAAAATTATCGTTTTAGTCGAAGCTCGCCTTCTCCATTTTTTTTTTTTTTTGGTTCTCGGGGGCTGTATAATGTTAGCCGCAATCTGCAGACTTGATAATTTATTTCATGCGTGTTAATTCCTAACAGTTTCGGTAAATGACGTCATCGCAATACCTTTTTAAGAAAGCGTTTTTTTGTTGTTGTTTTTTTTAAAGATTTTTTAATCTACTACAATCAGAAAATCAAATATTTGTATAATTTATTACTAAAAATATTTGTGATTTATTAAAAAATTATACAAATATATATATATATATATATATATATATATATATATATATATATATATATATATATATATATATATATATATATATATATATATATATATATATATATATATATATATATATATACAGTAGCCTTCATAAATTTAGACGCATTCATTTTTTTTTTTTCATATATGTAAGAAAATACTTAAAATAAAAATAAAATAAAAGTGCTACCGCTATGTTTGATAAATAATTTAAAAGAGGAAATGAAACTCTATTATAGAGTACCTTAATTTTTTTTACAGGATGTTTATTACTCATTTTATACCGATTAACACAAAAAAGTTAATTGATAAACTTGATTTTATTTTGTTCATAAATTTAGACGCACAATTAAAAAAGTCTTATATCTTGTTAATTGATAGTTAATTAGTAGTTGTTTTTTTTATATTTCTCATTAATAGGCCTAAATTAATTGATTTTGTCAAAAAACCTTATATAAATATGACTTACCTGGAATTATTTAATCATTATTTAATAAATAAACAAAAGTTAAGTTAGTTTTGCACTAAAAAAACGTAAAAAATGGGCAAAAGACGTATCACTCAAGGTGAAAGATGGCAAATTATTGCGCACATCAAAGAAGGAACCAAAAGTAATAGAGAAATCGCCAAGTTAATTGGAGTTTCTGAGAAATGCGTTCAGACAACGAAACAAAACTTTCTTCACACTGGGGGTGCCAGCGAGAAAACGAGGCCAGGTAGACCCTTGTCAACCACCAGAATGGACGATAGTGTTCATTTTAGAGCTGTCAGAGCTAATCCAAGAATTAGTTACAAAGAGTCAACCACAGAATTCAATACAACACAAAATACATCTATTTCTCAAAGCACAGTCCGCTGAATACTTATTAAATACAAGATTGGAGTCTATACTGCTTTGAAGAAACCACTTCTGCATCCATATGATAAACAAAGGAGACTAAAATGGTGTCGTGAAAGAAGGTATTGGACAATAGATCAATGGGAAAACATTATGCGGAGTGATGAGAGTAACTTTGAGCTTATCAATTGCAAATCTAACGCAACAGTCAAAAGAATGGCTCACGAAAAGTATTACGCCAGGTACATTAGACCAACTGTACAAAGTGGAGGAGGCTCGATAGGAATCTGGTCATGCTTCAATTACAAAGGTGTTGGTATGTGCCAAACATACACCGGAAGAATCAACTCCAGAATATACGTAGAAGTACTGGAAAACAACCTAATTCCATCAATTGACCTGCTTATGCTCAATGATAAACCATGGAAACTTCAACAAGATAGCGCTACTGCACATACTCCATACTATACAAAGGAGTGGTTCAACGATAATAATATTATGACAATACCGTGGCCTCCATATTCACCTGATTTGAACCCGATTGAAAACATTTGGGCTTGGATTGATCGTGAATTAGCAAAGGTTCAAGTTTCCACACTTGGTCAGCTGAAGGAATTCCTTAAGGAGACCTGGTATGGGGTCCCAGAAGCGATGTGCAAAAATCTTGTTGAGTCTATGCCTAGAAGAGTTCTTAGTTGTATTAAAGCAAAAGGCGGATACACAAAATATTGATTGGTTCATAAATTACGCCTTCTAATGTATCGTGCGTCTAAATTTATGAATAATTTTTTTTGTCTAATTTTTTTAATACCATGTAGTTATACCTAATTATTACTTAGTATTTCATTTTTTTTGTAAACTTTTTTTAAATTTTGTATTCTGTATGTATTTATCTGATAAATAGAAAAAAAACTAAACCGAAATCTTTTTTCTTCATTGTTTTATCGTTAAAATACCTAAAATTTTCTATTCTCAAATATGAGTGCGTCTAAATTTATAAAAACCACTGTATATATATATACTATATATATCTGACGGTCCAATTTCCGAAATCTTACCCGCTCGATCATCTCCAATTTTATTAAAATTTTGTCAATATGTTGTTAAACATGTTTCATAAACATTGCCAAATTTTTAGATCAAAATATTTTTTAATTCGGATTTTGTGGTACTTTTGTAAGTGGTACTGTGGTAAGGCTTACCCAAATTTCAATATCAGTCTGCAACTAAAAACTGGGGTCTTATATTTTCGTAATAAACGGATAATATATCTTGAAAACGTGGTTTCTTAATAAACCGAAGGTGGAGATTACACAAAAATTATTTTAAGTTTCATATTATGCCTACATTTTAGTCTATGGTTCACCAAATACCGTCACAAATTCAACACCATAAATTTTTTCTGTTT